GTGATTGCTGGCGGGCGCGGTTGGTGGTAAGAGTTGGGGGGAGGAGTGACGTTTGGGGGCGGATCAGGTTTGGGGGCAGAGCGTTGAGCGGGTCGTGGGGCGAGAGACACTACGCCACATGGTGGTCACAACGGCCTTGTTGCACCCATTACTAAACACCTCCGGTCTCCATGTATTGAAACTGCTGTACATGCGCTCTTATACAAAGCACCGACATGGTAAAAAATATTTCTCTTTTCTCACAATATTGGAATTTTGCCAGCAAGCCTAATCCAGTCTTATTTCACGTTTCTACTCCACGCCATTTCTGCCTTAAATTTCCATTAAATTAATTGTATTGGATCTACATTTCTTCTGCTGCATTGACAAGCAACACTTCACTACTAGAGGAAAATTAAATTAAAAATAATTTAGCAGATTTGAAAGTACTTAGTCTGTGAAAGTATAAATTTTATTTTTTCAGCTTATTACTGGTCTTTTATCGTATTGTTGCTTTCATATTTTTGTAAATTAGGTTTTACGCTCGGATAAATGGAAGCCCGCACATATTTCATTAACAAAAATGTTCAATATATTTTATGGCTTTTAACATTTTTTTAGAAAATCACTCTTAATGACTTCTATTATAATGCAACCTAACCATCTATTTCGGGTGCATCTGCTGTATTTCTTAACTTAAGTAAAATTGAATAAAATTTACGGTTAATATTAGTGGTAGTAGAATGTAGAAAACTCACCGAAACTGCTCACACTTCCAACACGCACAATAATCATATCGCAAAATTTTGCACAAAACCATTAATGAATCAAATTTTACACACTTGTAGGCACCAGGCATGAACGATCTTTTCGAAGAATGCCCCACGAACACCACACAGTAACTGCCGCTCCGGAATATTTTTCATTAAAGACTCCGCGCAGGGCAGTTCCAAGAGCTCGCTCTCATTGGTCCGTTCAAGGTTATAGCTCTCTTCAGTGAAACCGTGATAAATGCAGAAGGGTACATATAGTTAATTTCCCAGTAGTGCAGTCTGCAATAAGCACTTAAGGTTGTTAGCACTATGACATATGAATGAGGGTAGAATTAAAAATTTTTTATAATTCGATGAGATTCAAATTATAATATTACAGTACCACGGTTACTAGATATTCGAATGCTGTCACGGGAATAATCTGTCTCAAGCAACGATGAAAGTAAGCAGAGTGTAAATAATTATTGCAATAACAATTATTATTATTAATGAATAACGTTGTTGCTTTAGAGTCGTTAAAAAATTAAACAGAATATTGCATCATTTCTCTTTACAGCTACTAGCTCGCATTAGAATTAGGCTACTAAACCACTTGCCGTTTTATCGAAACTTACAAACTGAAAAATAAAATTGTTTTAATGGTGAATAAATTATCAGTCTCACACGTAACCAGTTTTAATTAAAAGATAATCGAAAGAGGTGCATAACATCATCATTTCTTGTTAACAATCATGATTCTCATCTCGACATTACTTTGCGCCACGGTTTCTAACAGAAATCCTTGCCTTCGTCAGCACGTGTTAACGCTGACTAGGGGCTGTGACACCGTAAATGTAAATTATTCTTCCTTATTTCATTATCAATTATTTTCTATTATTCTCTCTTATTTGTTTCCTCATTTTGTTATCTGGAGAAATTTAGAGAAAAGTTTAAGAGGAAATGGTATCTTACTTGGAAAACTGAATTTAAATTGGCAAACTGTTAAGTCAAGTATATTGAACGTGGGGTCTAATTTAATTTTATTAATTTTACATTAGGATTACTTGACTTTTAAAATTTCTAAACATTAAAAATCAGTTAGTTAAAAATGAATTACATGTTTCCATAACAACTACTTTGTATTTGAGGAAGGAATTTCCATAATCATCTCCCCATGAATTTGCTTCAAGATTAAATGAAAAACAGTCCTTCGTGGAGCATCTTCTGGGCATTTCACGCACACAGCTGCCTCGACCTGCTCCGACCTCACGTTCCCACCCCACTGCCTCTTCCCTGTCCTTGCGCCGCTCCCGCGCATCCTTCCTTTCCACACCCTCTGCGCCTCCGCGCCGGATTTATTACCCGCGTCCCTCTAGGACGCTTCGCCCTATTTGTTCGGCGACGAAATAGTCCCAACCCGCCGCCCACACTACACCCTCCCCCGATCCCCCGACTCGCCGCCTCCGCGAGTCATCCCTGCC